AAATGAACATGCTACGTCAGTATCAGCTTCCTCTGGTGGTGTTGACACAAACTGAGTGTAATCAGACGTCTCATGGTGGCACAAGGAGGAAACCTCTTAGGCTTTGTCCTCTGGGGAATGGGCGTCTTAAATTGCAGCTGTTGGCGTATTTAGGTCTGGACCAAAGTGGTGGAGCGACTGACAGCCTGGCTTTATCATGAGTTGGATGATGGCGTAGAATTCTTTCCAATAAAGGTTTTCACCAGCGGATTGTTTTCTATTTTAGATTTTATTGGCATTTTTTGTCATCACATTTACAAGTTAGTTGCCAGGGAAAGTCTCTCACTGCAGCAGCTGCCTCAGGGCGTCGAGGCCTCCGTCAGCAGGACCCAGCAGTGTAGCCTTGTCACACATAATGGACTGCCTTCAGTCATCCATCCGTGACAGACATCCCCTTGACCACCTCCTGTTTTAGTCGCGTACCCACTGTACCGTTCTGCGTGGACAGCTGTATAGTAGTAATAAGTCAGGTTTTTTCCAGGTCTCCTTTTTACCGTTATGCTTGTTATAAATGTTCAGTTCCCAGACTCGAAGCCCTTTAGTCTGCTACACTTTTGTGAATGAAACATGTCCACAAACACACTGGAACCAGTAGCCTTAGAGAAATTAAGGGGTGCTGATTTTGGTAATGATCAAATCCCATAAACAAACATGTCCCTATGAACAGGTGGCTTTCTTCAAGTTAAAACAAGTTTAATTATTATTGATCTTCTTGTTTTGGATTAATCATCGACTCAGTGAATCATCACATCACAACCTTGCACAGCTGAATGTGATGTCTTGTTTTGTACAAGTCCAAATACTCAAATATTTAATTAACAGTGACATATGACGATAAAAAGTGATGATGAGCTGGTGGAATCAGAGAATATTTGACATTTATTATTTTTGCTTAAAAAAAACAAGGAAATTTTATTCTGTTGATTGATTAATCGACTAATTGTTTCAGCTCTAATAACAGGTTTAACTTGGAACAATCGTACAAACAACCCTCAGAAAATAGGAGTTTGGATGAGAATGCTCCTGCATGAGGAGCAGTGTTTGGTAAATGCCTTCATCCCTGTAAACTGCAGACATGCACAGCTACAATGGTAAGTTTGAGAAGTGTAGCAAACAGCAGTGGTGTATTTTTATTTGTAGAGAAACAGCAGCTTGTCATTTTGCTGAGACCTCACGTTGAACCGCAGGCTTCCTACTGTCATAATATATCACCCTGATGCATTATAACCCTTGAACTGACATCATTACAACAGAAGAGAAGTGCAGTATCCTCTGTTGTTAGATTTAACCTACATTCAAAGCTCCCTGAGTCCACATGGGGTGAAACTTCCACCATAGCGGATTGTTAAAGTCCCTCAGCGCCTCGCACATGTTACTGCCATGACAGGGCCTGGCAGCTGGGTAATGGAGACGAAAGTGAGCCTGGGTTGAAGAGGATGAAGCTTCTCTGTCTGGCTCTTTCTAGACATTCACCACGTCTTTCCCAGCTCAGGCGGCGGCAGGCAGCTTCCTCTTTACAGCTGATTCGCTCTCTCTGTTTGTCATGACTAATAGAGAAGAAACTGGAGCGCAGAGATGTTTAGCATTTGTCAGTGAAACTGATGATGGCGGTGAGGAGGGTGAAAATAATTTAAACTTAATGAGGACTTCCACTAACGGCACCAATCTGTCTCTGAGAAACTGTAATGGCCCCGCCGAGGCACGTTGTCTCACAGCCTTATAGGCCAGGTTACGTATAATCAGACACATCAGTCACACTGGAGAATCAAATAAAAAAGCATTAATGCCATTAGTTGGACTCAGTGTGCGATTGTCTTGGAAGGACAATACTCACTTACTATAAAGGGATCAGTGCTTAATCATTTTAAAGGGAGAATGTGTTAGTCATAGTTTCAGAGGTGGTGAATAAAACATCTGAATGGTTCAGGCTGTGCTCTATTTCTAAATGAGACAAACATTTGGAAAACACATTTCGTTTGATGTTGTCCTGGCGGGGAGCTGCTTCAGGCGTTCAGCCATTTAGACAAGAATACAAAGGAAAGAAATTGGCTTCACCTCGCTGTGTCACTACACGGGCACTAAAGCGTACCACGCTTCACAGAACACATAATATTTATAGACCATAAAATAACAAAAAGACATAAAACATGAAGTACTGTGGAGCAGGCTGTAGTTCGGAAACGTGTACCTGCACTGGTAAACACCTGAGAGCAGATACTCCTTCACCTTCAAACTGGATTTATAGTAGCGTTAAATTGTCCCAAAAGTAAAAGTAGTCATTATGCAGAATGGCACATTTCACAGTAATGTATACAGTATTATTGGATATGAAGTACTTGATGTACTGCTGGTGAATTTCCCATCAGGGATCAGTAAAATCTGATGATTAGAGTGTATTTTGTTTGAGTCGTCTAATTCTCTGAAAAGCAGCTACAGTTATCAAATACATGTAGTGCAGTAAAAAGTACACAGTTTGTCTCTGAGATGCAGTGAAGTCTTAAGTACATATCAAGTAGAAGAACATGGAAATGCTCAAAGTACAACTAGTCCAGGTCTGTTTTCCCCAGTTTTAAAGTCCACCTGCCCCTCTGTGTGGAGCCATGGACTCAGACACGTCGCCGCTTCCTGTCACTGTGCAAAACTGAAGCCAAAATATCGCCGATACAGGGGCGGCCATCTTGCTTTGTAACACATATTGCAACTGCAGTAGCAACCAGAAGTGGAGTCGTGGTATCAGGTCGCCAGTCAGAGCTGTCAGGCGTCTGACGTATGTGGTCTGATCTGTCAGGCCTAATGTAAACACAGCCTTCACCAGGTTCCTGACAGTACGGGCGCCTGTAGGCTCGTGTTGGTAAGCGTCATTCATGGCTGAGAGATTTGTGAAGAACTGTGAGGCTCCCATGAGGTTTGGTTCTAAATGTATGCAGACACTTTTCATCATAACATCACTATGAGATTACAATTTAAAGTAAAACTCCTCTCTTTGATGCCACCACTGTTTGATAGCACCCATCTGTGATGCCCAGTGCATCTCTTTGTCATCCTGCTTCGTCTTCTCCCCTTTAGTGAGTTGTATTTTTTCCCCACAAGGCATTTTGACGAGGCCTCAGTGAGAGGGTGTGACCTTGTTATTCTGAGTCGGATGCAGGCGTATATGGGCTGAGAAATAACTTTTCAAATGTGAGCGTTCCACTGTGGGTGATTATGGGTCACTGATCATGTTGCTCATCATACAGCACCTTGTCTGGGCTGTTGAGGCTAGCTTCTCTGGGGAAATTGGTTTCTCTGCCTTTTCTATCAGGGACGTCCCCTTGTATGATGGTGAACTGCAGCCCAAAGTGACAGCTCTGGAAAGAAGAGGAGAGCATTACAGTAGTCCAGCCTCCTGGGTCTAAAAGCACAGATTAGTCTCTGTGTCACTCTGACAGAGAGATGGTCGTACTGTAGCCGTATGTTCGAGATGCTAAAAAGGAGATTCAGTGACAAACCCAACAGGAGCCTTAAAATTCAGTTCTGAGTAACATGGAGGATTCTAGCCTGTTGGCTCGGGGTCAGAGAGAGTTTAATTTGGTGGCCAGTTTCTCTCTTTGAGCCTCTGACCCCAGCATCAGCTGGCCCGGTGACTCTGACCACAGAGCTTAGTCCTCCACCACACTGAACGTGCTCCGTGTACTAAATAACCCTCATCATTTCTCTTTGAACATCTCTTTATAAAAATTTGCATTCTCCTGAACTTCCTCAATAAGAACTTTGCAGATGACTGAGGATACCTGTTAATGAAGTCTTTAGTTTTCGTACAGCCAGTGAACACCCCATTGCTCTGACAGTCGGTGTGATTGCTCAAGACTCGGGTGGGGGTGGGG